TTTTAGATTTTCCGGAAAAATGCATTGATTAAAAGAAAAATTTATCATATTTGCAAAAGCAATACTGATTGGATCAATGCATGTTTTTAAAATTTTTGCTGATATACCGTCTACTCCAGTGGCTTTTTTCTTTTGCATTTTTGATAAGACTTTTTGCACTGTCTTACTGCAAACTGGAGTAAATGAAAAATGTTCCTGGATATTTATTTTGACTTTTATGTCTTCCACACTTGAGTGTGTTTCCAGGTCACAGCCATTTAAATTTTTACCAATGTCATCTGCGACACTTGCGAAAAAGTCGTTAAAAAGTTTACTCACACATATTTGGTCAGATATTACCTTGTTGTTTTCCAACAGCAAAATATCATTATCACTGCCGAGGGACTTTTTAGATAGGAAAGGTTTGATGGTTGGCCAGAAGTCTTTAGACTCTGGTCCCCCACCACACCTTTCTATAAAATACTCGGTCATAGATAGTTTCTTCAATTTATTGACCAGATTTCTCTGTTTTCTGTATTGCTCCCAGTTATAGCTATTTCTGATCTTAGTGTACTTGTTATATAGCATACGTTTTTTATATATTGCTTTTCTTAAATTTCCATTCATGTATGGGAGCTTACTAGGCTTGGCCTTTCGTTCTTTGAGGGGTGCATGCTCATCTATTAGATCCTGCAGTAGTTTTTCATGGCCCCAGTATATATCATTTATATCATCAAAAACATACATTGCATGAAAAGGGGCTTTGTTTACGTCATCTGAGAAAGAAGTTTCATCAAAATTTTTGAAGCTTCTGTATGTACATGATTTTTTTTCAAATCTAGGTGTGTTGCCCTTAATAACACATCCTACCATATCATGCCAGTCACTGATACCACATCTGCAGTTCGTGACACGCATACAGTATTTGGGTTGGTTTGTTAAAATTACATCTACAAGTGAAGGAGAACAGTTTATCACATGACAGGTTGCATCTTTAACAATGTTATGTAAATCGAAAATCGATATATTTCTGCAGAGAGCAATACTGTATTTTTTCAGTTCAATGTTTATATGCAATTTTATAATAGCATAAAAACTCTGTTGGCAACAACAGGTTATAGTGTTTTGTCATGAAATTAACTGCTGTTGTTTCCGTAAGTATTCTGGTGAGGAGGTGTCAGGTGGATGTCACGTGATGTAGGGCATATATAGGGAGCACGCGCTAGATGCGCTCTTTCGAGTTCGTTGCTCATCACCACATCTATGCATGTTAATTTTCTTATATATAGTGTAAGGATGTTTTTTGATAAATACATTCAAATGCAATTATTAGTAGACGTATGTTGGCCAGTGGGGGTGGAATATAGTGGTTAGGTGTGGTATGTTGGCCAGTGTGTGTACCGTATAGTGGTAAAATGTGGTATGTTGGCCAGTGGGGGTAGGGTATAGTGGTTAGGTGTGGTATCTTGGCCAGTGGGGGTAGGGTATAGTGGTTAGGTGTGGTATCTTGGCCAGTGGGGGTAGGGTATAGTGGTTAGGTGTGGTAGGTTTGCCAGTGGGGGTAGAGGATAGTGGTTAGGTGTGATATGTTGGCCAGTGGGGGTAGGGTATAGTGGTTATTTGTGGTATGTTGGGCAGTGGGGGTAGGGTATAGTGGTTAGGTGTGGTAGGTTTGCCAGTGGGGGTAGATTATAGTGGTTAGGTGTGGGATGTTGACCAGTGGGGGTAGGGTATAGTGGTTATTTGTGGTATGTTGGGCAGTGGGGGTAGGGTATAGTGGTTAGGTGTGGTATGTTGGCCAGTGGGGGTAGAGGATAGTGGTTAGGTGTGATATGTTGGCAAGTGGGGGTAGAGTATAGTGGTTAGGTGTGGTATGTAGGCCAATTGGGGTAGAGTATAGTGGTTAGGTGTGGTATGTTGGCCAGTGGGAGTAGAGTATAGTAGTTAGGTGTGATATGTTGCCAGTCGGGGTAGGATATAATGGTTATGTGTGGTATGTTGGCCAGTGGGGGTAGGGTATAGTGGTTGGGTGTGGTATGTTGGCCAGTCAGGGTAGGATATAGTGGTTAGGTGTGATATGTTGGCCAGTGGGGGTAGAGTATAGTGGTTAGGTGTGGTATGTTGGTCAGTGGGAGTAGGGTATAGTGGTTCGGTGTGGTTTGTTGGCCAGTGGGGGTAGGTATAGTGGTTGGGTGTGGTATGTTGGCCAGTCGGGGTAGGGTATAGTGGTTAGGTGTGGTATGTTTGCCAGTGGGTGTAGGGTATAGTGGGTAGGTGGGATATGTTGGCCAGTCGGGGTAGATAGTGGTTGGGTGTGGTATGTTGGCCAGTCAGGGTAGGGTATAGTGGTTAGGTGTGATATGTTGGCCAGTGGGGGTAGGGGATAGTGGTTAGGTGTGGTATGTTGGCCAGTGGGAGTAAGGTACAGTGGTTAGGTGTGGTATGTTGGTCAGTGGGAGTAGGGTATAGTGGTTAGGTGTGGTTTGTTGGCCAGTGGGGGTAGGTATAGTGCTAAGGTGTGATATGTTGGCTAGTGGGGGTATGGTATAATGGTTAGGTGTGGTATGTTGGCCAGTGGGGGTAGGGTATAATGGTTAGGTGTGGTATGTTGGCCAGTGGGGGGAGGGGATAGTGGTTAGGGGGGGGATGTTGGCCAGTGGGGGGAGAGGATAGTGGTTAGGGGTGATATGTTGGCCAGTGCGAGTAGGGTATAGTGGTTAGGTGTGGTATGTTGACTAGAGGGGGTAGAGTATAGTGGTTAGGTGTGGTATGTTGGCCAGTGGGTGTAGGGTATAGTGGTTAGGTGGGGTAGGTTGGCCAGTCGGGGTAGAGTATAGTGGTTAGGTGTGATATCTTGGCCAGTGCGAGTAGGGTATAGTGGTTAGGTGTTGTATGTTGACTAGAGGGGGGAGAGTATAGTGGTTAGGTGTGGTATGTTGGCCAGGGGGTGTAGGGTATAGTGGTTAGGTGGGGTAGGTTGGCCAGTCGGGGTAGAGTATAGTGGTTAGGTGTGGTATGTTGGCCAGTGGGTGTAGGGTATAGTGGTTAGGTGGGGTAGGTTGGCCAGTCGGGGTAGAGTATAGTGGTTAGGTGTGGTATGTTGGCCAGTGGGGGGTAGGGTATAGTGGTTAGGGGTGGTATGTTGGCCAGTGGGGGTAGGGTATAGGGCTTAGGTGTGTTCTGTTGGCCAGTGGGGGTAGTGTATAGTGGTTAGGTGTGATATGTTGGCCAGTGCGAGGAGGGTATAGTGGTTAGGTGGGGTATGTTGGCCAGTCGGGGTAGAGTATAGTGGTTAGGTGTGATATGTTGGCCAGACGGGGTAGAGTATAGTGGTAAGGTGTGGTATGTTGGCCAGTGGGGTTAGAGTAT